AAAAAAAATCTTACGTTTAGAATTGTATGTTTACAAAGAAACTAATGAAATATATATAAAAAAAGATTCTCAATGATTTAAGAAAGGATCAAATAAATAATATCATTTTATATCGTAATCTAATAATATTGTAATGTAATAAAATTACATTGATTTAATTTATATTACATAATATTATTATAATTAAGTTAACCAGGTTTTATAAGTAGAATGCATCATTGTTTTCCTAGATATATGATGTGACTTTGATTTTGGAGATTGAGCAACCTATTTATCATGAATTTTTCGTATAAAATAAAGAGTGAACATTGATATCTTGATCTTGTGGAATTTAGTGGCTTTTTTTATTAAAATTTAGTTTTATTTTTCTGTTGCGTTATATTTTTTAATTTTTTAATTATTTTCATATTTGAGCTTGAGGTTGAATCCCATCACAAAATTCTCCACAAAAAAACAAAACCATAACTATTTCTGTACCTACATTCGTTTTTTCATATAAGCATTGGAGTCCTTTTTGACTTGAGACCTCATTCAAAAGCTTGTATCTTATTACCTTGTTCCTAAATACATGCCTTTGTAATGAGCCACTGTTTGATATCTGTTCTGACTTTGTTCTCCTAAGCTTTTCTTCTAAACAAGCATTTGCTATGAACCTTTTCCTTATCGTCATAGGCAATTTCTCTGGTGACTTTGGTTTCTTAATGGGGTTCTTGATGGGTTGTAGCTTTAAATTGTTTCTTTGGTTGCCTTTCAAGCCAGCTAATCCTTGACTATGATGGTTAGACTTTAGCCTTTCGTTTTATAAGAGTTGATTTTTTAGTCGGTGTTGAGGGGGAGGATTCCCCATCGACACCCGAACCAGTCAACCGTCCAAACCACTACTATCAACCGACTCCTCAACTAGAATCGATTGATCGAATTGTTTTTTACTGAAATCACTAAAAACCCTAGATTGGATGATTTCAACTGGTAGCTCTATGTGGGATGTTGACAGTATAAAATGAATATTAAGTTTAACAATGACATTAAATATAATATATTATATTGGTATCATCTCCTATTCTCAGCCATTACACCTTTTTCTTACTAAAAAGATCGAAACCAAAATTATAAATTTTGTAAATCAAGATACGACGCATAATTAAAATTTATTATGGAAACACATAAGAATTCATTATTATAAATATTCGTATGACAATTTTTAAATATTTATTTAAAATCCTATCACGTCTTGTTGGCGGGATATTATCTAACATTAAATTGCCTTTGGTCCTCCCAATTTGAACTCAAAATCCAAACCATAAATTTCATATGCCTCGACAGGAATCCACAGAAGATCTAAATTGGTTGAAAACAATAGTTGCACGGGCATAAATACATGTGGGGTTTTAAGTTCAGCTGCATGGACATAAGTACGTGTGGGGTTTTAAGTTCAGATTTCTTAAGTGCATTGCATGGCCAATGTTGATCTCTGTGTCAATATCTATTTTTATATCGCATGCGATAGATTAATTAAATTTTTAATTTAACAAAAAATAAATTTACAATAAAGTAATTATAGAAGTTGAATTTTTTTTCAATATATTAAACTTTATTTAGTGTCAAAATATCTCTCTTAACATGATATTAGAGATGAAAATTTTTAACATTTAAATCTTGAAATTCTTTAAAAAAAAAACCCTTTTGCTTTACTTATCATTATTGTCTCTGTCAATTATCTTGCTTAATTTCGCTGTGAAATATTCAATCAAAATAATTTTTTTTTTTTGAAAAAATAGAAAAAATATTATCAATTGAATAATTTCGTTTCACCTGATCTGATAATAGTTTAATTTATTGATTCGGCCATAATATTTCATTTATAAATTAGCTGATTTAGATAAATCTCAGCTTTAATAAGCATTAAGTAAGATGGATATAATGGGAAAAGAGTTATGATATTTGTCTTCAAATAGGGAACATGGAATTCTTCTGATTGTAGAGAAGACAGAGCAGCCTCCATTATTGTGGTTGAATATGGCCGGGCACCTTTCTAAAGGAACAAAACGTGATAAAATTTTGGGGCACTAATCTCGCTTTCCTGTCTGTTAGGACAAGACACTTAATTTCGTCGTTACATTAGCAAAAGTGGTCGTGGGTAATTTGATTCTCTCCAAATACGTGAGCATTTTTTTTAAAAAAATAATTTTATTAATTTATATATTATTCTAAGTCTCTTACTTAACTGGACTTTTCATAGCACATAAATTTAGTCATAATAAAAACATGTGAGATTTTAAGTGAACACAATTTTTATTATGGATAACATTTTTTTTAATTCCAAACAACTTCTCTTTATATTATCATACTTTCATAGGGATTCAATCAATTAATACATTCTTTCACTTTATTCTAAATAGTTTCAAGTTTGAATTTGATTAAAGATTTTATGTTGATGTTAATTTTAAATATATAATAGTTATATAGTATGATATAATTCTGATTTTGAAGTTTGAGTAACTTATTTATCATGAATTTTTTTAATAAAAGAAAGGGTGAACATTGATATCTTCTTTCATCAATCTTCTTTTAGGCAAAAAAAAAATTTTAATTATGTTTAGCAACAATTATTTTTTGGCAACTAGAATAATGCTGCAACATATATTTTTTTAAAAAATTTTGATATTAAATGTCAAATTTTTTGTAATTGTGAAGAGATGTATGAAAGATAAATGATACTGAAACATGGTCATAAAATTAATAATTTTTTTGTCAATCAAAAAGATGTAGATTTTATTAATAAATTACGTGAATTGATAAGAAATTAATAATAAATTGATACAAAAAAGAGTAGAGATATATGTATATGATCTTTTTATTTAAAAAATAAAAAATTCGTAATAAATTGATTTAAAAAAGAGTTGAGATACACGTATAGATTCGACGTAAAATATAAAAAAGAGTAGAAATGACAGAAACATCATAACACAGTAACAGAAAAGACTACAAGGTGGTAGAACGACTAAGAGAAAAACCACACCAGCAAAACATGCATCAAAAATGCTGGCAATACACTAACAATCACCAAGACGCTGACAATAATATCCACATACAATGGCAGAGCCATTAATTGAGAAATCATAAGTAACATCTGATGTGAAGATAGTCGCAGCAAAACAGCCAAACCGCCTAGCTGAAACTTGAAGACAACCAGAACAGCCGACCATTTACTGGGTTGCGGAGACAGCACGCAAAAACAAGTACAACAGGAGCGGCCAAAGGGAGTCAGAATCAGCAGGGCCAAAAACAAACTAGGCAGGAGAAAGGAGCCTCATAGAAAACATATTGAGGAAATGCAATCAAAGATACTGGTTACCAATGTTAATAATGTTAGCAGTATATTATTAAAATTGACAGATATATTGATATAAAAATGTATATTAAATTAAGATACAACAGTTTTATTGTTTATTTGCAACATATATTGTATATTAATCTATTTTTGTATTTAAAAGGATGTTTCAAATGATTAGAATTTAAAATTTTATTTCATAGCATTCAAGATATAATAATAAGATTAGTAAGATGTGATTTTCATAGGTCCAAATCTTTATATATTTATATTGCACTAAAATATTTAGTTAATTGGTTAATGCATATTCCATTCACTTAAAAAGAAAGGTTTGAATTCTCTTCTCTTAATTAAAAAAAATTATATATCTATAATATAGAAGTATAATTGAATTAGCTAATTAAACTAACTCCACAATTTTTTTATGGTACGAAATTGGAAATACACATGACAAAGAAAGGTGACTCAACATATATTTTGTAGCATGATTTGCACATGTGAGTATCACTTTGCATAAGCTGCCATTGCACAAACACCGACGCTTGTCTAGCTAAAGCCATTGGCTGATAAATTCTATTTGCAATTAATGCTTTTGAATTATAACCAACATTTAACGTAAAATCAATTGATGATTTGATTGATAAATTTTATTTTCAATTAATGTATCTGATTCAAAATAGATATTTAATTTAAAATCAATTGATGATAAATAAATAAAATTTTATTATATTTATATATTTTAAATTTAATAGAAATGAAATTATTTTTTATCACCATTTTAATAAAATGAAGCTTGAAAAGCTAATTAACTCTGTACTTTGTTCCGTCGCATTGCATGCTTATTAGTGATTTGTTTGATTAACACGATATGATTTGTGGTCCAGCGTCAGTCCCTTAAGTGATCTTCAAAGATTCTCATCCATGGCCAACTGATGGCCATTCTTACATCCCATCCTTTCTGCAACCAGGGATCCCCCTGGCCCCGATCGCCTGTTAGCTGTTTTAACTAGTAATTGAAATTGAATATCCTATTGTAGAATTTTCTGTCACAATATAGGTTATTTAATTGAAAAAAAAAGACATAAATATTGAATATACTGAAAATTGGGTTGTTAGTTTTTTACCTGTTTTAACAAAAAATAAAAGTAAAATATGTCTTTTTTTTTTCAAAAAATGTGTTGGATTTGTAACCTTACTAGTTGAGATTTTAAGTTTACAATATGCAAAATATTATTTTTCAATCTTATGGAAACGTTTTAGAGGATTTGAACAGGAGTGGTATAGTTTCACTTTGATTTTGATATGTAATAAGTAGAGTGATAAAAATTTTTACTGCATAGTACCAGTGTTATGCCACCTATAATTATATTCTTCGGATAGAAAGAGCCAGAGCAGTCTGACCCATTATTGAGATAACAAAGCATTAATGAAAGTTACTTGCAAGTAATTTGATATACTAGCTGACCAGAAGTAGCTAGCTAGGCTAGAACAAAATATTCAGACCCACCCAAAAATAACCTGGCAGGTTGCAAATTACCAGCCAGGAAAGCTCAAGCGGGACCAACTTGCATTTTCAGCTCGTGCCAGAAAAAATTGTCCTGGAGCATATGGAGATGGTCGGCCTATTTAATGCCCTCGCGCGAGAGCTGGTATTGCAACTGCATATTGAGCTGTAAGTTCTCTGACATTTGCAAAATTACGAGTTCATAAATAGTATGGAAGGATTGAATGTTGGAGCAGATGATGGCTTCGGGTTGGCTGAGGAATCCACCAATTCACACAAGAAGGAACTGGCAGCAGGTGGCTTTGCGAGTGAACATGAGACTATCCAGTCCTCAGCAGCGGCTGATGATCTCGAGATGCACTATGAAATAATCCCTGGTGCATCTGGTCAACTACCTGGATGGTATTTTAATGTTCTCCGAGAATGGCCAGGTATACTTACTTGCATTACATACTTCTCCAAGGGGAATTCCATGGCAATGGCTACATTTAGGATTGGGCAATGGTCAGTTGGGACCGCCCAACCGACCGTAACCGTCGTCGGTTATTGTAACCGACGGTTGTTTTTGCAACCGTCGGTTGTGCCGATCGCCATCTCGGCTGATCGGCTCTGTCGTCGGGGGGACTCCCTCCCCCGAACCTACTGAAAAAATCGAGCTTTCTTTTGTTTCAAATCACCCATGGGCCCCGCCCAGCGGCCCTGGCACTTCACTACTTCCCCCCCCACTCGGTCCTGACCTAATCCCTCTCCCCCACCCTCGACCTACACGAAATCCCCCCCCCACGAGTCCCGACTTGATTCTCCCCCCTCCCCCGATTCCTAATCCAGGGGCCCTTCTTTAGACCGAAATCGAACGAAACCGAGCTTTAAAAAATCGACCAAAACCGACATTGCATCATATGCGATTCGGTCGTTATAGGGAAAAAAATTTTGATCTGTTTTAAATCAAAATCGAACCGAAACCGACAAAACCGACCGGTGACCACCCCTAGCTACATTTTGGTACTTCAACTATTCAACACGTGAGGTTTACATGTTGAAATATTAAAAGAGAAATATATTTAATTACATACTACACTGCTAAAATCTTGTAAATCCTTGTATTTTAACAAAGAAAAATCTCCAATGGTTATAAATAATTTTGTAATATCATAAAATATTTAACAATATAAGAAAGATTAAAAAATATATCATATTATCCTAATTTAATTAAATTATACACGATTTAGTTTGTAGCAAATAAATATTATAATTAAGTCAACATCGATTCAGCTTTATTATAAGTAGAATGTATGTTTTCCTAGATATATGATGTGACTTGGTTGATAGACTAGTGGCTAGTGAATGCAAGCTGAGATTTAGTGGCTGATGACTCAACAAGTTCTGTAAATTATTTGCAGGGGAGGCAAAGCTCTACAAAATAGAGAAGACCTTGTTTCATGGAAAGTCAGAATACCAGGAACTTTTTGTATTTCAGGTACATAACATTCAGCCATGAAAGCACTGGGAAAGAGACCAAAAGAAAAGTTTCCAAAAATAAACAAACCAGAGACTACCGTGTCGTGGCTATCTTTAACAAATTCAGGTTTTCTTTTTAACTTTTGTTTTGGTATATATATATATATATAGTCGTCAAACCATGGCAAGATTGCCATCCTCGATGGATCTCTTCAGCTCACCGAGCGGGATGAATTTGCTTACCAGGAAATGCTCACTCACCTTCCTCTTTGCTCGATTCCGAATCCAAACAAGGTTTTCTGACAAATGATCTTCTTGTTTTCCGTTTTGGTGAATTCTGTACCCTGTGAAACTTCAGTTTCCTTCCTCTTTCAGGTTCTGGTAATCGGAGGAGGAGACGGTGGTATTCTACGAGAACTATCCCGTCATCCTTCTGTGGAGCAGATTGATATTTGCGAACTTGACGCAATGGTTATTGAGGTGAGTAAAATCAAAGTTCATCTTACAGTTTTGCAGTCTCCAAGGCCATTTTGAAAAATTTTTAAGTATCAAATCAGGTGGACCTTCAATTTTATGATTTAGTTTTGTAAATCCTCGACGTTTCAGGTTACAGAGAAATTCTTCCCGAATAGCAGTTGGATACGAGGATCCAGGTGAATGTACACATAGGCAATGGTAAGCAACGTGGCTGTTTTGTATCGCTTGCCAAAATGAATAACAATTGGAAAAATTGTCTGGTTTCCAGCTTCTTGGACAGTGCTTTTTGTTCCCTTAGTTGTTCCAAAACAAAAAACCATGCAGGTGTTGAATTCATCAAGTCTATCCTCAGCACATATGACGCCGTTATTTGGATGCATTCCAGGAGATGGGTGCCTCTCTTTTTCTCATCTGGTTTAAAACTGCTAAACTGCTGTTTATATTCAAAATACTGCTTCCCATGTTCTCAAGCTATGCATTCTTGGTTATCATATAGGACCTATTGCAGTAGAACTTGGGGATAAACGCTTCCTGGGATCAGTGGCAACGGCTCTTCGCCCTGGTGGAGTCATGTCATGCCCAGCAGAAGGTCCATGGCAGAAAGATTTCAACCTTGCACATGCAGTGGCAAATTGTCGCAAAGTTTTCAAAGGATCTGTTAATTATGCTTGGACAACAGTTCCTGCATATGCCAGGCATGAACTTGGTTTGCAAACACAACAGTTCTAAAATTTGTCCTTAGCAAAAGTTTTATTTCATAAGGACTATACCAATTACGCATTCACTTGTCAATTTTCATTTTCAGTGGGGTAATTGGATTCATGCTTTGCTCCACTGAGGGGCCAGCAGTAGACTTCAAACACCCAATCAATCCTTTAAATCCAGAACACTCTTGGTGTAGCAGCAGGACCACCAAAGTTTTACAATTCTGAGGTAAGTCTTTTTAACCCCCTCTATTCTTCACTTCTCCATCTTCCCCTCCCCCCCCCCCCCCCCCCCCCCCCCCCCCCCCCCCCCTCTCCCCCCCTCCCCCCCCCCCCCCCCCCCCCCCCCCCCCCCCCCCCCCCCCCCCCCCCCCCCCCCCCCCCCCCCCTCCCCCCCCCCCCCCCCCCCCCCCCCCCCCCCCCCCCTAGTTCCCCCCCCCCCCCCCCCCTCACCCCCCCCTCCCCCCCCGCCCTCCCCCCCCCCCCCACCCCCCCCCCCCCCCCCCCCCCCCCCCCCGCCCGCCCCCCCCTCCCCCCCCCCCCCCCCCCCCCCCCCCCGCCCCCCCCCCTCCCTCCCCCCCCCCCCCCCCCCCCCCCCCCCCCCCCGCCCCCACCCCCCCCCCTCCCCCCCCCCCCCCCCCCCCCCCCCCCCCCCCCCCCCCCCCCCCCGCCCCCCCCCCCCCCCCCCCCCCCCCCCCCCCCCCAAACCCCCCCCCCCCCTCCCCCCCCCCCCCCCCCCCCCCCCCCCCCCCCCCCCCCCCCCCCCCCCCCCCCCCCCCCCCCCCCCCCCCCCCCCCCCCCCCCCCCGCCCCCCCCCCCCCCCCCCCCACCCCCCCCCACCCCCCCCCCCCCCCCCCCCCCCCCCCCCCCCCCCCCCCCCCCCCCCCCCCCCCCCCCCCCCCCTCCCTCCCCCCCCCCCCCCCCCCCCCCCCCCCCCCCCCCCCCCCCCCCCCCCCCCCCCGCCCCCCCCCCCCCCCCCCCCCCCCCCCCCCTCCCCCCCCCCCCAAATTTTTTTTTTTTTATGTTTCATTTTTTTTCCAATGAGCTTACTTTCTATATTTCTTTTCTCTTTATTTTGGTTTCAATAATGCAGATTCATGCTGCAGCATTCTGTCTCCCATCTTTCACCATTAAGATGATTGGTTCAAAAATCTGATCAGCTGCTTATGGCTATGGAATTGAGAAGCATTGAATTTGACCATTTGCCATTTGCAGTTTCATTTTAATAATTGAATATCTCATGCACCCGAGTTAAACTTTGAACTGAGCCCTTTCAAGTTCTGAAATGGATTCAAATGGGTGCACAATTGTTCAATTGTTCATGAATCTTAAAGCTCCATTCTGGTTTCTTTTCCCCTCGCAATTACTTCATGGTTTGTCACGAAATTGTTCCCAGATAAATCACATCAAAATAAAAATGTGAAACTTGATATTACTGGTTTAATAATGTGATAATACTGGACTAGGAAAAGGAAATCCTCTCCTTGTCTCCTTTTACACTTTAAACCAATTTTTGACAAGAAGTTGCCATAGTGGTATTCCAATCTGACAGTTTATCTAGTGAGATCCAATCCCAACATAATTCTCATAAACATGGTTATGGTTGATGAGCTGGGACATAGAACTGGAAGTACCTAATGGTAGTGAAGCACCAGGGAGAATAAATTAACAGCAGAGAGGGGGGAAAACACAAAAATTTTGGGGTTATGGGCTGTGATGGGCACAAAAGGTCTGTAAAAACTGGAACATACAATACTAATTAGATGGGAACCACCCCCAGAAGGGCAAGTTAAGGTAAATAATGATTGTTTAGTCTCAGCTCCGACTGGAAGCATTATTGATGACAGTAGAGGGACATGGATTGAGCCTATCCTTGCAATCAGGGCTCTACATCATCTGTGGGAGTAGTTATGGGATCGCAGAGATGGATTAATCCATGCCAAAGACCATGCATTTCCACAAATACTTAAAAGGACTTTGATTCTGAATTTGTTCGTTTGATAAAATCCAATTTGTGATTTCTCATCATCATAACACCATCACCAATTGCAGGTTCTTGATGCAACAGCTCCATACAAGTAACGTTAGGCATATCTACAGGCCAAACAATTTGCATGCACTAGCAAGAGAAAATGCCAAATGAGGAAATCATACCAGCAGACTCCATTTCTTTTCAGCATAAAATTGCTAAATATCTTACAATGAACATACCAGTATTATTAGAATTTTTCCTCATGCAAAATATTTGTTACAATAACTCATATATGTCAAAGCAAATATGGGATCAGAATAACAAAAATTATGGCTCTGTATCAGATTTCTATAAAGAGTATGTACATTATTTTCCGCATAAAACATTTCCTTATGTACATTATTTTCCGCATAACACATTTCCTTCTTACAGGAAAACAAACAAAAATATAAACGATCACCTCTCTTTGATAATACAATTAAAGTGGGAGCTGCTCTGTATGAATATCCTCAGAGTTCATGGACAATATACACAGGCAGTGAGGAAGAAAAAAGTAGGTAGCCAAAAAAACAAGGACTCCAAGATCAGCTTCTTCACCAACTGCTGGCCGACGAGGATTGACCCAGTATACTTGGCTTGCACACCACAAGCAGTAGAGGCTTGCAATGATCAAAATAAGTTTCATTGACTGATATGATTGTTTTCTGGTAGACTTTGTCAACCTCGCTCTGCAATCGGGATAGCAGTACAATAGCAGTTTATCAAGGATCTCACTCAAAGTTGAAATAATATGATCAAACAAACATATAAAATTTGAGAAATAAGAACCTGTTGATGTAAATGAAGCCACCAAGTAACCAAGTGCATAGCAATCCAACTACAATGACAGCATCTGGGTTGACAGGTGCACGGTTTATCCACCAACCAGTGCTTAATATCCAAGTATACATGGATGAGCGCCCATTTTCCTGTATATTTATATTTGCATAAGGTCTATAAACTTAAAGCAAAAGCAATGATGAAGAGAAAATAAAAGACATATCATTCTGTTAGGATTTTCAAGCAGACGTGTATGAAACATTGAGATCAACCTATCTATGATATAGGTCCAACAGCAAGTTATAGAATACAGAGAAGTTGCACTAATTCATCTCAAAGAAGCCAACTGGAAAACAAATGAAAGCACACTCAGGATCGCATCAATTGCTATGTAAAGAATCTTGTAAAGCAATCATATCTAACTATTTCAAGGTGAAACAACCATGAATAAGCAATGAACAAGCAATTATCTTCTTAACGAAATCTAAACCAATTATGTTTGCTCTTTGTACAAGTGTTTACGCACTGCCAACCCATTGATCCATCTTAGCACCCGGTACTCTAATGTGCCCTGCCAAGACAACAGTTACACCATCTTCTCCAATAAGCCACTAAATCAGAATTATGATGTCAACGTAGCAAATATGCCCGATAAGTTCATCATGGCTCTCCTAAAGAGAAACAGAATTCTTCATCCTTAAGAAATTTTTTGCACCATCTAAAGTATTAATAGTGACCATGTTCATATATTTATATACTACGGTTTTCAACATTTTAACTTTCCAGAAACCTATAATAAATGTATAGATCTCTGTTCTTTCCAAATCTTAATGTGAGAATGGAAAGGCTGATTAGATCCATGTGACCAGCATACATAAAAGCAATAAAGATTTCCAATCTCATTTCCTTCTCACTTTGTCTTCACAATTACCTACCACATAGCATTCAAGTCATAAGCCCACAGCAATGACAGCTAGCCCTCTTAAAATAGTAATTTCTGCAATTCCATCCCTCAATAATAAAATCATTAGCCTTCTACCCCTGATAAAATAATCATTAACCTCGAACCTTTTGTTTCAGTTTTATCATTCTTCAAGCTTAGCAGATAACTTCCTCAAACATCAATTTCCTCGGTATTAGCAATCTATTTTGCAACAATTTCTGGCATCATTTTGCATTATCACCCTTACATGCCAATTACACATAGAATAAATAAATCTAATAAACTTAGCCACATCACAAGAAAATAAAATTTCCAAAATTTACCTCAAATAAGTGGTCAAGGAAAAAGTGTGATAAAGAGCCGGCTGATATCAGCAGTAAGCATTGCCTCCTTGAAAGTGGCACCTGCAAGAAAAATCCACACACAACAAGACTTAGCAATGGAAGTTATTCAGTGAAACTGAATCAAATGGCATTGGCCAAGTAACTTGTTCTTAAACATCAGCAGTCGGCTAATTTATGTTGAGCACCATCATCATCAATCGAACTAACAGCATTGGCCAATCACAATTGTTACAGAATTGTGCCATATGAAACTAACTCAACAATTCACCAATAATTAGACTTCAATTGGCTTTAAAGTGCATATAAACAATACATACTAAAGGAAAGGAAAAATGTCCGGCTAATAGCTAATTTGAGGAGGAAAGTAACCATATATATTTTTGTTTTTCTATTTTCAGAAGGATAAACAACAATAACAAAACTTAACTATTTGGGTTATGGTCTGATGGTTTAAACAGGATTTTGCTTTAAAGTCTGAGGTTTTTGCTGCTTTTTTTCTATCTTGACGCAATTTAGACTGGAATTCCACTCTAAGTGCAAAAAGTTAGAGCAGTCAGCAAAAGAAGATAAACGACGGTAAGACGCTATGTGGAAAACCCTAATTAAACTTGAGCAGGAAAGAAAAAACAAAATTTCTCTAGAAAAGCTCAAATCAGCTCAATTAGGCCCAAAACAAGAATATACTCCATATTCAATGAACAAGAACATAAAACCAACTGAATTATCCTGCTCAACTGATTGGCTACCTACTGTAAAAGAAATAAATAAGATCAATTATCAAAACCCCAGATTGAATAAACGGTTTTTCAATTTCCTACCATAAACAACACCAAAAATAGAAACTTTCTCAACTTTAAAGAATCTGAACTCACCCCAGAAACAGAATCAAGAACACTTCTTTTTACCAAAAAACTTGACACCCAAGAGTAGAAGACGCACAAAGGCAACCCCAGAATCAGCACATAATAAAAAGGATGATGAATTGCGTCAGCTAAAGAAGAGACAAAGGAAGATCCAGCAAAGAGAGTGGAGCTTAGCCACTCTGAGAAGGAGCCTATGTCAGGGCCAAAGAAGGCGTTGAGAGTGTAGGTAAGGGTGTGGTGAGGGGTAAAACGCCCCTTGGTGAGGTGGGTGAGAGCTAGGCCCGAGTTCATTGCATACATGAGATGCGGACCTGGCCCTGGCATTTTGTATTTGTTTTTTATTTGAGTGGCGGTTGCCGGGAGCTGCGCTGCTCTGGCTGGAATGTGTCGGCCTTTTTTACTCCTAGGAAATGTCAGAAAGGTTAGATCCTGGTTAGTTTAATGGTATGTTGGGATTTTGACTTTCAACCATGAGGATATTGTAGATAAACTATTCCCAATAGTAAAGTTAAAAGTAAACAAAATGCAACAAGAAGCTGACAAGAAGTTAGAATAATGGAAATGGAATCTTCCACCTGAACTAGTTTATTAGAAACAACAAGATCAAGATTGAATTCTTCAAGATATTGATGAAAGAAAACGAGGTTGATCGGGATGAACATACCATCACTTCAATCCCGAAACATACAATCAACAGTTGATAAAAATCAGTGCAAATCAAGACCTTGGGTTGATATAAATACAAATATTCTCCAGGATTTTCTTGATATTCTTAACCTCCCATCCATCATAAGTGGCCTTGCTCTTATTTCCATGCATTGGTCTTGTCTTAATGCTATTTCAAGTTATCTTTTCGTTAGCTTAGAGACTTTGATTGATCATGGGTGGTGAGGAAAGTTTCATTGATGGGAACATAAGGTATCATTTATGAGTTAAGATTACTGTTTTTATAAATAATTAAGGATTAGAACGAAGCCTAACACTCATAAAGCTTGGATTCTAAGTTAGAGTTCTTCACCCTGGGCGATCATCCAATAGGATATGATATCCTTTGACGTAAAAGCAATGTATGCAAAATCTAGCAATGACGGTCTCTCGAGTCCATGTTCCTACCCATTAACACTTTCTTGAAAAGCAAAGCTAGTAGGCTATCATTTCTTTTAAGAAGTCGGAAAATTTAATGTTTGAATCCCTTTCTTTCTCTTTAAACTTCATCATCAAATGTGCCGAAAGAAAAGCTTCTTGCTTTGTTGTTCTACACCAGCCATTCAAGATAGCTTCACGATGTGGAGGAAGGGGAACGAAACACATAACTCTTAACACCATTTATTCAACTATGTACTTGACTAGCTAAGGTGGCCATATGACATAATTTAAATCTAAAATAACATATTATTATTGTTGATTGTTTGTCATCGGTCACCATTCGATATCGATCTCGGTTAGTAACCAAATAATCGATAATTCTGGATTTGATTTGCCACATGATTCCACTATTAAATCATATCGTGTATTCTATAGACAAAAAATTATCAAAAAAAATAAAGAATTGGTTAATTTTACATTAAAATTAGAAATTTATTTAATTAAAAAAAATTTAAAAATTTATTTAAATATAATAAATCATGAAATAGTTAACAAGAAAAGAAGTATAATACAGATTTCATTCTTCCTGTTCAACAGAAACCGATTCTTAGGAACTCAAATTTATACTATCAAAACCTACCATTTAAAATTAAACCCAATAAAATAAAAATAAAAACAAAAATTTTGAAAAACATAGTACTAAAGGATAAGAGCTGAGCATTTGACACAGAGGGGGACCCACGTAGATGACCTTTTTCTCTTTTAACGGATAAGGACCGGAGCCGAGCTCCTTTGCAAACCAATTACGACACCTAGCCGTGAAACACGGCTACCGGATAATGCGGGTCCCATTCCCATTTTTACTTGCAAAGAAAACTTCTTTGGTTCCTTTTAGACTTTCTTCCTTTTTTTTTTTTGTGGGTATATAATTGGATTTCTATATTTTTCAATATTTATTTATTAATAAAAAAGACCCTTTTGTTTTCCCAATCTTACGTGTTGATTTCGTGTAAAGTGAGTGATGAGAGCAGGCCGTTTCCTTTTTTCGGGGTTGTGCGTCATGCTTCACTCATGGAATAAATCTTTAATCTTTTTTATTTTTTTAGTTAGAATGTTGTCTTCCTTTTTCCCATCCATTTTCTTCCTTCTTCTTTCCTCTTTCTAGCCCTCCAAGTCTACATAATAACATTCTCTCCATTCAAAATATTTAGACCCATTTTTCCCTTCATTCTTTTTAATTCAATGTCCATGAAAAAAAAAAAGTCTATAATTACAATATCTAATATTATTCAATATATTTAAATAAAATTAAGATATCATATAAATAAATTCGGATAAAATAGGATTGTATGTGAACATAAATTTTAAAGTAAAACGCTTACATTTTTTAAATTTTAATTTATTAATTTTTAAAATAAATAATAAAGCTTAAAATATTAATAATATTAATAAAAAATATAATAAAACTAAAATATTTTTTTTTTCTCAAACAATGTGACTGTCTAGTGCACTGTCATTCACTGGTCGATCTCCTTGATTTTAATTTTTTTTATAAAAAAAATATAACTTATATAATAATTTTTAAAATTAATAAATAATAAAATTATATTAATAATTAGATTTACTAATGATTAATGAATTCGTATAGAGTTTTAATTAAAATTTAAAAAAACTTAAATACTTTCCCTTAAAAATTTAATAGAGTTTTATTATGTTTAAGATATTCGCTTTGCAAGTAAAGAAGCAACTTGAAAAAAAGGAAGGAGGGTGATGATGTGGACTGACAAAAACGTAGGAGAGATGGGCCCCATGAGTTAGGCATGACTTTTAAGATAACATAGAAATAGATTATTATTATTATTAAAAAATAAAAATGTGACAAGGAAGGGGAGCGGGGTCCGTACGAGATTTTGGGGTGGAGAGGAAACGGGATTAGATTTATATGAGGAAAATGGAAAGAGTTGGGTGGGGACTGCATTTAAAGATCCTTGTCCCCCTACATTTTATCCACATTGGACTCCGTAACCATAGGACGGACCTCCTTTCACTTCTAAATTACATTTCTGCCATTCTCTTTGTTTTTTCGAAAAGAGTTTCTTCTGTTCTTATAAAATAGTACATGACATTAGTATTTTTTACACCACCTGCTACAATAATATAGTAAGCATATTCTTTCATCATTCAGTTAATAAATTGAAATATTTAATTTATTCATATAATTATAAATATCTTATCTAAATAGTAAATACGCATGATTATAATAAGACAATACAAATTCTCTAATCTAACTAATCAACTAAGCGATAATGTACTTTTTTTTTCCCAACTTGGTATTATTTTGAAAATATAATATGAAAGAGTAATATTAAATATTGAGGGGAAGGGTAAGATGGTAAAAGAAATAGAGGGAAAGGCGTGTAAATGCTGATGGGCATCTTATCCAAAAACCAAAAAGAAAAACAAAAAGAAAATCCAAGCACTGTGATGGATGCCAGTGTTTTGCCAGAGAGGAAATGCCGTGGTCGAGCAGCCGCGTGCCCTGTCGGCTCCTTCCTTTGCCCTGCACCAGCTGGTTCAACCCATCCTCCATTCTACTAATTTGTACGGTTCAAACATCTCTACATTCACATCATCAAGTGCATGTTAACCTAATCCCAGCCAATTCAAATATCACGGATGTTATCGGGACAGATCATCGATAAAATCTGAATTTAAAATTATTTACATTAAGATGATCAATTTTAACAGTTAAATTAAAATATCACCGATTTCACTTTCATAATTTATATTGTAATAGTAAATTACTTCAAAACGTATAAAAATAGATAATTTTATTTAATTAAAAATAATATTTTTTTTACAATAAAAACTTTATAAAAAATGGAAATGGAGGATAAGCATCAAAAGATATGACCATGAATATGAATATAAGTTTAATACAATTTGTATTAAGATAATATTAGGCAAATTGTGGGTTTGTGAACTGGAGAGAAAAATTTAAACAAGTTAGGAGTTGTTACAAAAAACTACAAAACGTGTTGATTGAGCACCCTTTATTTAATCCTTTTCACTTAATTTATTTATATAGAATAATTTTAGGAAATCTTTAACCGAGTACGCATGGATTAGGGATAATCAAAGTTAATTACTTTATTATATAATAGTTGGTCTTTAAAATATTCAATTTTATGATGTCTATGTGGGACAGGCCTATGTGTTATCCTCATGTATTAATTTATTTCTAAAAAAAAAAAAAGAAAGAAAAAGGAATGGTCAATTACTGTACCTTTTATATTAGCATACTAGTACACTAAATGGTTTCTTTATATTATGAGGAAATTTGGTGTAGAGAAAAGGAACAGAATTGAAGGATAATGTTATTTATTGGGACAATGAGAGCTCCCTTTTGGTGCCTACAAATTTAGGTCTTAGCTAACCATAAATATCCATTCTCAAGATTGGGAATTTGGGATTTAGTAAAAATATTTCTAGATAAAGATTGTGGTAAAGTACCCATTTCACCCTTCATTGCCTTTCCTTGTACTTTCTTTTTCAATTAATTAATATACTATTTTTTATTCAATAAAAAGAATTTAATTTTAATTTTTCTTTTTAAATTTGAATGTATATATTTTTCGTTAAATGAAATATTTATATGTGAATCGGACGAGAGGTTCGGATTTAATTTTTGTTAAAAAATAGTCTAATACATGCACTAATCTTAAAATGGGATTCAATGTTTAGATTCATATTGTCATTTGTTTTAAATGGAATCATATTTTGCATTTGACAATTTAGAATTTTGAATATAGTTGTTTTGGTAACAATGGTTTGATTATATTAATTATGATTTTTGATAACATCCTAAATGTCGAGTTCATTCAAAATTTTTAAAATCTAAATTCGGATTTGGATAAAATGATAATTGTTTATTATAGTTTTTTTAATTTTAAAAAGGAGGTTTTTATTCATTTTTTTGTTTAAGATGTTTCAAAATGTTTTTTTTTTCGTTTTTAAACACTAAATATATTTAATTTTTTATATTACACATTTATATTTCATAATTTTTTAATATTGAAAAAATATGGAACATTTTTATTATAACATAACAACAAAGCAAAACTTTATTCAAAAAGAAAAAAACAACAAAGCAAAACCCAACAATTACAATTGGAAATTATTTTCTTTTTAAGCAAAAAAAAAAAGAAGAAAAAACGGCAGAAAAACCAGATGAGAAGAAAATGGCAGCAAAGCAATAAGGTTTGAAGAGAAAGGGCATTTGAAGGAAGACAAAAGTCTTCAGGACTATAACGTAAGACCAAACCAGACTTGTGTAATCTAACTGTACATACTTTGGGGTGGCCTCATCTCTCTCTCTATATCAAAATCTTGTTTCTTTTTTGACTTTCATATTCTAAGTTTTAATCTTTTTGCAGCTTCCTTTGTTGAATGAACCAACACCAAACACCAAACCAAACGGAACCTTAAAATAAATTTTTTCAATCCTTTTTCCTTCTTTTCTTCTTGGGGTTTTAGTCGGTTTCGAACCTTCAAAACTCTTTCACAAATCTCACCAGTTTTGAACCTAACGCACCATTTTTCTTTCCAAGTTTCTCTCTTTCTTTATCTCATAACTCCAACTGCTTCTTCCTACATTCTTTTCCGTTCATGTTTTATGAGCTCTTTTCCTCATGTAAGTTTTTCTTTATCCACATTTCTTTTTCCAGCTTCCCTTCTGTGTTGAAGGGTTCTTTTCTTTTTCAATGCTTTCATGTATGTTTGGTTGCTTGGGAAACTTTAAGGGAAGCAATGGGAAAATGGGGTTGTTAGATTTTTAGTTTTCTTGGGCTTTTTAAGCAACCATGTTTGGTTTTTTTATTTCCCTTCTTTTTTTCCTGATAAAAAAAAATGATCATCTTTCTTGCAGGGAATTCGCTCGACAGTGTCATTGAAGAGTTGGATAAAAGCACTGTTGCTCAAGCTGGATCATTCTGTAAAGGTAACATTTTGGATCACTCTGTTTCTGTAGCCTTTCTCTCTTTCGACATACATATGTATTTGAATATAATGTGTTTTTTTAATATCTGTATTTATATCTGCATGTATAAACATTGCTTTGGAATTTTGAGATCTAGAGGCTTAGGAATGAATTTTGAGCTTTCCTGTGTATTTGACTGTCTTTTGGTTTTTAATTTTTCTGGAGGCGTTATCTGTACTGTTGGACATGTTTCCAAATAATTGTTCAGGGAGCTTAGCTGGATGTTAGCCAATTTTCACTAGTTTTGTTTCTTCTGGTTTTGGATTCTTTTTAAAGTTGTTATTCTCTATAGAATTAATTCAACTTACTTATAAACAATTCCATGGCTATCATCTTCTGTTCTTAAGTTAATGAAACAGTTGAGAAGGCATAAAAGAAATCTTCTTATTGGAAATTCTTTCAGTCTTGTTAATTTGTAGTCATATTTTACCCCATTTGGGACAAATCAATAAACAAAAGTTTACCATGGAGTGATACATAATGTAAACTGAGAATTGTTTTTATTGCAGTTAATTTATTGAGGAATAAGGTTAGAATGATACAAAGTACTCCTGGAGAATTTTAGAAAATGAAATACAAATCTAAAAGTAAAATGCTGAGGAGAATAATGTTTCTGCTATCTTTTCTTGTCTCTTGATTTTTAAGTTAGCATGCCATTAATTATTAAAGATAAGGTGACACCATGAATAGTCATATGCCCTGATTTCCACTGTCATTTGCCCTTTTGATTTGTAGAGTAAGGATTTTGGTAATTATTGAAGATAAGGTGAGCCGTTTGAATTTCGTATTGCCTGTTGTTTTTTTTGTGGCATAATTTAAACTTCTTCCTTTGTCTATAATCAGTTGACAGGTAAGCTGATGAAACAATGAGTTAATGCTTGCCGAAAATACGGCACTGCCATGAAAATTGTATTAGAAGGAAAATATTTTCTGTTTTCTTTCATCTTTCATTTTTTTGGTTTTATTTGAAAAGGTTTCAGTTTCATTATAGAGGATATCATTCATACAGATAAGGATGAAGTAAATAATATGGTAAATTTTAGCAAATCTAATTTATTTATTGCATATTCTTCCTGTCCGTACTCGGAAAAGAGATAAGTGACTTAATAATCCTGCTGGAACAAACAAGTTAAACGGACGTGTTTTTAGTGCTTTACTGGAAGGAAATTAATACGATTCCCTAATGGGTTAAAGGAATATTCGTTTCATTAAATTGCCTGCGTAGAGTTTACCTGGACAATTAATTTGAAGAAATCAAGTGGAATGCAATTTGCATATAAAAAGGCTATGTAGGCATACTTCAAAGGTGCAGATTTTGTTGAAAGCTCCTCGGATAACAGCATTAGGTATGCCGATGTTTTTAAAAATGTGTGTTTCCCTCTTATATTTGATCTTTTCCATGTATGTTTATATTTTTCATTATAATTTTCCTTTCATTTTCTTCTCTTGCCAGTAGATCATATTATGAGCACTTATTTTTTCTTCTTAGATGAAGTTGGACGTCCCGTGTTATCCGTCCAACATAAATTTTGATGTCAAAATTGGAACTTATGGCCCAACATTTGAAGGGTCTTTCCATTCTGTTTGAGTGATGGTTAGCCATCTGATATTTTGATATCAGTTCGTAGTATTTGGCTGTGGTTAGTTTGTTTATTCAATAGGATGTAAACCACTGTTTTCTCAGCAGCTTTTATATTGTTTCACTTTCATTGCCATTAAAAATTGCATATCCTGATTATTTGGTGGAACAATGGTGTGATTTTATTTGGATGACTTCAATCTGTTTGCATTTCATTCTCTGACTACTCATTTTTTCTTGTACTTACTCTTTCTCCCTTTGGCAGCAGTTTGACATATGCACAATGTGTTTTTTTGATGATTATGTTTTACCAGAATTTTGATATTTGTGTTTAACATGAAATTATAGAGATATGTCCAGTTTTCAGGGCCTGCTGAAAAACTGCTTGTTACATATATATTTTGGGATAAAAGAATGAATTTGATCTTTATAATTCACTTGCAATTAGAGATAATGCTATGTTTTCTGAATACGGACAGATAAAAATTGAAGGATATAGAATTGGTTAAAAACCTTTAAGGTTTTTTATGTCTGAAGTGTTGCCCATTTGTTGAGAATCTATGGTCTTTCTCTTTTGTTTTGCCTTTCCTCTCAACTAGTTCGGGCTTCGGTCCTCTTCCTACCTACTGCAGTTAGGCATGTCCTGCTCTGGTCACATAAATTTGTGTTTGGTTCTTGCTATAGCTCCTTCCAAAAATTATGTTGATTCTAGGGATCCTGCAGTTGTAGTACTTTGATGCATGCCAGTATTTTAGACTAGTCTGTAGTCCTACCCATCGAGACTGGCAGGTCAAGGATCAACCCCCA